GTTATAAAAGCCCTTAAACCCTAGGTTTTATTTTCTTAAACTGTTAGACCTAGTTTTCTCTCAAAGAAAAGAAAGGAAGAAGAGTTTGGTATTTTCTCCCAAAGATCCATAAGATTTTCTTCTCATTGTTTTAGTTTATTTTTTTCTTGATTTGTAGTTCTTTAATTCAGTTTATTGGGAAAAGTTTTGAGGTCTTTGTTTTTTAGAATAAAAGATTTAAAGGACTTTTTACCCTAAAAATTTTCCAGAATTTTTGGTTTGAATTTTTTGTTTATAAGACTGTTTTTGGGGTATTTTGAGGCTCTTTTTACATAAAAAGTTTACCTATTTGTATCCTATAAATTATAGTTTGTTGTTATGATTTTTACATGAAAAATTATATGTTTTTATCAAATTTTAAAGGTTTTCTATAAAGCTTTCGTATCTGATTTTTTCTATAAAAATCAATAAATTGTTAATTGTTTTATGGAAAATTCTTAGAAGTTTTATTTTATAAAACAGAAAAATTTTCAGATTTAAAATCCTCAAATTTTCAATTGTTTAGAAGGTTTTTAAGCTGGTTTTATTGAGAAACTTTTTGTAAATTTAGTTCGTATTGATTTATATCGATTCTTGTAATTTTAAAGGTTGTTATGGTGGATTTTAGAGGCTTTTTAACCTAGTTTTCAGATCTGGTTTTGTAGCCCCAAATCCATACTTTCCTAATTATCTTACATAAAAAAGTGTTTTGAATGGGAAAATTGGGTAGATAAGATTTGAGTTAGTAATTGGTTGAATTTTAAATCCTTGGATAGGATTTAAGAATTGATTTTGGATATTGGTTGTTTCTAGGCCTCTAAGTTGACAACTACAAGGAAGAAGTAAATTAGATTCGTAAGATTTCTGAAAGAGGTAAGTAATTTGTCATATCCCTTCAAAAAAAATTATTGTAAGTAAGTTGTCATATCCCTTCGAAAAAATATTGTAAGTAATTTACCATATCCCTTCGAAAAGTGTTGTAAGTGATTTGTCGTATTTCAAAAACTAAAATGTATTTTGGATTTGATAGGAAGATTTGAAATTGATATCTTGCATATGAAATTGAAGTTTTATTATAGATTTGAAAATTAATTTGGCAATTGAAATTATGTTTATTTGCAAAGTATTTGAAGTATTCTTAAATGATTTGATAAAGTTTTGTTTAAATGTATTTAAAGGTTTGAAATTGATATTTTGTTTATTTGTGAAATATTTGAAATCATGTCTTGGGATGATTGATAAAGTTTGTTTTAAATTATTTCAATGTTTTGAATTAATTTAATATTGAAAGTAAGTATTTGTTTTGCATTTTATATGAAAGATATTTTGATTGATTTGATAGGGCTATCCGGATATGCCATGATTTTGTTTTGAGGAATGTTTTGCTTATTTGGGGTAGTAGCCTAATTTGGAATTGATGAATTTCTGTTCTGGCTTATTTGTGGGAAGACACTTTTGTGGTTTGGCATTCCTTGGGAATGAAGATTCATGTGTGTGTTATTCACTCACATGGCCTCACACTTAAGTAACTTTGTTCTGGTCGATATTATTTCGACAACTCTGTTCTGGTCGATATTATTTCGACAACTCTGTTCTGGTCGATATTAATTCGACAACTCTGATAGAAGCTTCTGATTGATTTGGTGTTACCGACGGGTAACCACATATGTTCTGTAGGCTACCCAAATAATGCAACCTTCCACTCTGATTTTGAAAGTATGAATGAATGTAAGATTGTTTTCAATGTTCGAATGATTTAGTTATTTGAAAGTTTGAAAGGTGTACCAAATGTTTTAGAAGGAACTTTGAAAGTTTAGATTGAAAGAAAGTTTGTTTT